AACCCCTCAGGCTATCTCTTGTTGATCTTCGGGCAGTGCCTTGATGCCTCTTTTCAATTTGTCACATCTTGCCCTTTCCTAAGAGAAGCCCCTGTAGCTACTCTGGACCTGATCCTCATGGGCCTATATTCACAAGCCTGCCCTAGGCTGGGCTGCAGGTTAGGTATCAGATGACAAGGGATCTCCCTGTCCCCATAGAACATGAATTTGGAAACTCAGTATGCCAAGTAAATGTGTGTGACAGTCTAAACAGAGATATATGCTGAGAGGCTACAGGTGTGTGCTTCCTGCATGCTGAAGTGGTCAATACCTGAGAACTCAGGGATGGCCAGGTTAACCAATTTTTTTTTTGGTCTTTTTTGTCTTCTTGAGACAGGGTCTTGCTATGCAGTTCAGGCTGGCCGTGAGCTCACTTTGTAGCCCAGGCTAGTCTCACTCCCAAAGATCCTCCTGCCTCAGCCTCCCAAGGGCTGGGATTACAGGCATGTACACCATGCCCAGCTGTTTTTTTTTTCCCACTGTTTTCTTTTTTGGTACCGGGAATTGAACTCAGGGCCTTGCACTTGCCAGATAGGCACTGTGCTGATGAGCTACATCCTCAGCCCCAGGTTAACCAATTTTTATCATGTATGCATAAGTCACTGGAGGATGGGGATGTGGATCAGGCAATGAACGTGGCAGAAGGGAAGCTCTTCTTAATGGAGGCCACACTACCCAGCACACAAATCCACGCACCATACTGGGAGCTGCAAGTACTTTAAGGTATCTACTGCAGATGAAGGGTAAAACCCAAGAGAAGAGGCTGGGTGCTTCCATTTTATTTTGCAGTCAACAGAGATGCCCACAGGGCTAGGGATTTAGCTCAGCAGCACCTGCCTGGCAAGCGCAAGGTCGTGAGTTCGATTCCTGGTACCAGAAAACAAAACAAAAAAGACAACAAAGATGTCTATGTATCTCCTTAGATCCTCTGGGTTGGCTCTCTATATCTGGACATTTCCCCGGCTCAGCTGCATGGAGAAGCTGGGAACATCCACTCACTCCTCTCCAGCCCCCAATATCAAAGCTCTGTGCTGCTATCTGCTAGCCTAGGATACCACCCATACCCATTTAAGTCAAACTGTGAAGAGCCATTCTCCAGATCAGACCATGGATGGGGCCCAAGATAATTAGCAGTGCAGCCTTCTAGCTGTGCTGAGGAGCAAAGCTAACTCAGCTGGCCTAACCTGCTAAGTACAGGAACCACCATTCAGCAGGAAAAAAGCACCTGGTAGACTGAGTAACGCACCAGCTGTGGCCACCTCAACTTGGGCTGCCAAAGAGTTCCCGAGGATAAGCTCTTTGAGAGGCTGGGAGACAACACCTGGGAAATTACCACTTGATACAATGTAAGCCCAGAAATTCTTCTCTAGATTCCTGGCCTACTACTTGTTTCTTGCTGCAGTTAGGGGCACCGGGCACTGCCTAAGGAAGACGGGCCAAAAAGGAACTACTGTCTGGATTTGTTTCTTTCCAAGTTTTGGGTTTGGGCTTGTACTGGAAACCACCAAAAAAAGAAAAAAATAGTGGAAAGCACTCTAAGAATCCTTCCACTGATTAGTTCTAGAAATACTCTCAGGCCAGAAGAGAGGGCCTGCCACGCTGACCCAAGTCCCTACATCTGCCCAGTGCACTGCCTGCACCACAGAACTGTCCCTTATGTTTGGATCATACCCACACTTCCCAAGGCAAAACAGAGACCCGAAGTTTTGACTTGATAAAGTAGCAAAACTATGCCAGACAGACATCACTACCATCTTACTCTGAAATTGTAGGCCCAAGGAGCAAGAGGTCTGAGTTACTGACTGAAGTTTTTTAACTTCATCTTTTTGATGACAAGCTAAGCCATGCATGCTGCAAGTGCCAGCAGGCCTGGGAAACACAGTGAAGACTCCATCTCAAAAAAAAGGTAACCTGATAAAATTAACAACATAGACTAACAAAAAACTCCCAAAAGCCAAAGCTGGGACAACTTTAACATAGATATCCATGACTCCATATTGATATAAATAGATAGTTAAACAAATGAAAGAGAGGGCCGGGGATATAGCTCAGTGGCATAAGCGCCTGCCTGGCAAGCACAAGGTTGTGAGTTCGATTCCCGGTACTGCAAAAAAAAAAAGAAAGAGAACACACATCTACACCAAAGAAACCCAGTAATTCAGGTAGATACTCTCCCATCAAGAAGGTGGAACTAATTCCTCACCTTTTTTCTTTTGTTTTTCTTTCCTTTTTTTTGAATTACTGGGGATTGAACATAGGCAGCTCTGAGCAATATCCCCACCCCTTTTTATTTTTTTCAATTTTGAGACACGGTCTCATTAACTTACCTAAGGTGGCTTCAAACTTGCAATCCTTTTGCCATCACCATCAGCTCCTCATTTTGTTGTTTTGAGGTTTGGGTGTATTTTTAAAAGGGACAGGATCTTGCTATGGTGCCCAGCCTAATCTCAAACTCCTGAACTTAAGAAATCCTCCTGCCTCAGCCTCCCAAATACCTGGGACTACAGCTGTGCACCACGGTGCCTGGCTTCCCCCTTCAAATGTGGGCTGTGCATGAACAGGGGAGAAACAGTTACTTTATTGATGAAAGCCTGGCAAACTGCATCAGCCAGGTGTTCAATATCAACCATCCACATCAATGGTATCAAGTCACATTGTCAGGATATACCTTTGGTATGTGGTAAAAACAGCACCTTACTTTTGTGGTTTTCCTCCCCCAAAATATAACCTTAGTCCAACCTTGAAAACATAAGACAAATTCCAACTGAGGGTTACACTATACCTGACCAGTCAGTGTCAAGGATAAGACAAGTCTCTCAGATTATGATAGCAAATGCCTATTATCCAGAGGTCTGGGAGGGTGAGGCAGGAGGATCACAAATTGGGAGTCTTGCCTAGGCAACTGAGCAACTTAGACAGAACTTATTTCATAGTTAAAAAAAAGGGGTGGGGGGAGTGGTGGCTGGGATGTAGCTCAGTGTAAAGGCCCTGGGTTCAATCCCCAGTATCACCCAGAGGGAAAAAAAAGGCAAGACTGAAAAATTATCACAGCCAAAAGGAGCCCAAGGTATAATATGATATGAATCTTCAAATAATACAAGGACACAATGGAAAAAACTAAGGAAACCTAAAAGCATGAATTTGTTACTAACATTATCGCTATTGCTTTGTTTTCTTCTCTTTTCTGGCAGCACTGGGTATAGAACCTAGGGCCTCACACATGCTATTTAAGTGCTCTACCACCAAACTACATCCCAGGGTCACACAGGTTTCTTCTTCTTCTTTTTTTGTACTGGGAATTCAATTCAGGCAGGCCCTTGTGCCACTGAGCTGTATCCTAGGCCCTCTCATAGTCTTCTTGACTATAAAAATACCACACAAATATAAGATCTTAATAGAGAGGAAAAGTAATGTAAGGTACATAGGAACTCTATACTATCACAATTTTCTACAAATCCAAAACTGTTCTAAAAATAAAGCTTACTTTTTTTTTTTGAGACAGGGTCTCAACATGTGGTTCAGGACGGCCTTGCACTCCTGGCAATCCTCCTGCCTCCTCCTCTCGAGTGCTGGGATTACAGACATGCACTACCATGCCCAGCAAGTTTACTTAAATTTTAAAGGAAAGAAAAAGTTCTATAATCCTAGCCACTTGGGAGGCTGAGGTGGAACATCAAAATTTCAAGGCCAACCTTGAACAATTTAGTTGAGACCCTACCTCAAAATTTTAAAAAGGGGCTAAAAAATATAATCAGTGTTAGAATGCTTAGGTATTAGGTACAAGGGCCTGGGTTTAAGTTCCACTACAAAACAACAATAGCAACAAACAAACAAACAAATAAATAAGTGAATAAAGAGGTGGAGAAGGGAAGAAAAAGAAATGAAGACAAGCTTTACATACTTAGATCAAGTATAGATCTACATATTACCCCCCCAACACCACCTTACTGGGGCTAGAACCCAGGACTCACACCTGCTAGGCAAGCATTCTACCCCTGAGCTGTATACACTAGCCCCTACATACTGGTGCTGCTCTCTCAGTGACCTTTTTTTTTTTTTTTTTTTTTGGTACCAAGAATTGAACTTAGGACCTTGTGCTTGCCACGCAGATACTGTGCTACTAAGCTGTCTCCCCAGCCTCAGTGCCTTCTATGAGACTCTGGGCAATCACTGATTCTCTCTGGGACTCCATTCCATAGGAAGGCTGGTCTTCCTTTGACCCAAAGTGTGTGTGGCAGGAGCTAACAAATTTCAGTCTGCTCAACAGAGGAATGCTGGAGAAATCAGGCTTACTGACCTGAGTCAGTAAGTCTCTGAATGTCCAACCGAGAGGGAGACATCATAGCCAAAAGCCAGCGGAACACTGCATCCTAACCTCCCACCCTGATTTCCTCTTCTTACTCCCTGCTCCTCCCCAGAAGAGAAAACCCTGGCAGGGTTTTAAAGGCAGGCTGTTAAGGCACAATCTAAAAATAATCACTGAGGGCACATGAGACAAATGAGAAATTAAGGAGGTGAGGAAAACAGGTTGCGGTAGGGTTTGGAAAAGTGGTTTCCAACTCTTGTCTCAGACTGTGCCCATAAATACCAGAAACCTATGCTTTTGTTCAGTCTTAAACTTTACAGCTAAAAAGAAAAAAAAATATATATTCTGAGGAAAAAACAAAACAGCTTTATCCATACAATGCAAATAAAAAGACAACTGACAGCCTTCTGCTCTCTCAGATTTTACCCTGCCACGCCAAACTAGTACAGAAGAATGAGTCTGGTTTTATTTTTTTGACAGAGTCTGGTTATGTAGCCCAGGCTGGCCTTAAGCTCCAGGCAATTCTCCTGCCTTAGCCTCCTATAGGCACGGGCTACCACACCTGGCCAGAGGAGTGAGTTTTAAGAGACCTAGATCTACATCTTCAGACAGGCCTGTAACCAAGGAATAAGGTACTAGACATCAGGGTACTTACTTCCTGAGGATGATGACTGCTCGGCGCTCTTTGATGTCCTGAGGCCGTATGCAGTGAGTGATTTCATCAGCAGCATATCCACTGGAAAGAAACACAGCACATACCATGAAGAGTAGACAACCAAAGTTCCTAGAGGATAAGAACACAGCCTAGGGCCAAGGATATAGCTCAGTGGCACAGCACCTGCCTGGCAAGTGTGACGTCAAGAGTTTGATTCCTGGTACAAAAAAAAAATATGGCTGAGGTCTTGTGATTGCCCTCTGCTATGCACAATGTTCAAGAATCTACACAGAAGGGAAATGCCATGTTAAGCTCTAAGAAGCTCCCGCCTACAAACCATTCAAAACTAATATGATGCAAAGGAGGCCCAGTGGTCTTTTAAGGCAGAAGCCAACATAGGACTCGCTCTATCTACCCAGGTCAGGAATCCTTCTTTTAGAATCCTTAGGGCTAAGGTTAGAGTCCAGAAGAGCACTTGCCTGGTGTATACCGTTTCAGGTCCCAGGTTAGATCCTTGGCACAGCAATAAATAGCGAGCCCTCAAGAGGGTACATTGTTAAGAGGATCTGAAAGCAACTGGAGGTACTTGGAAGAAACCTCAGCAAGGGGACACAGACATTTCTTCCATTTCTCCCCACCCTTTAGCATGCAGAGGAAGCCAAGGTAGCCAATGACAGTACAGAGTCATCAGGGAGCACTAGGACTGCCATGTTCCAGGAGAATTTATCTACTTGGAAAAAAGCTTTCAGAAGCCTCCACTAGGAAGGTCCAAAATTTTGAAGACATCTGCGTTTGAAATATTTTAAGAATTTCCATCACACTCAAATTTCTATTTATTTTCAACAAGTGACATGGTTTTTAAAACTACTCACAGGCCAACGAATATGGGCAAATGACTGCGCTCTTCTTAGCTAGTATACTTCTGATCTGAAACTCTAGAAGCAATTCCCAAGCCTCTCACACTCTCTCCTTGGGAGCATGGCACTCAAAAAGCATCCAGTTAGAAACTCACCCAGCTGCAGGCCAAAACACCCTACTTTCTCAGCTTCCCCACTTGCTCAGGATTCCTGGCTGCCCCTGGACCACAAACCTTTCTCTCCTGACCAATGATCAGCTCCTTCTCAATGACAGCTCTACAGACACATGCTTAAGTGTAACAAACACTGGCTGGGAAAATTCCTTAAAGTGGTCAGGCTGGCTCAATTATGGGCAAGAACTGGACGTAAGAGCCAGTAAAAAATAAAAAGCCAAGCTGCCACCTATAATTCCAGCTACTTGGGAAGCTGGAGCAGGAAGATCAAAAGTTCTAGGCTCACAAAGTTTAAAAAGGGCTGGACTTATAGGTCAGTTGTGGAGTGCTTTCCCATCATGTGTGATGCTCTGAGTTTGATCTCCGGTACAATGGAGATATGGCAGCAGGGAGGGACACAGGGACACACACACACACACACACACACACACACACACACGCGCGCGCGCGCGCACGCGCGACAGTGGGTGGGTTACAGCAAGGCAGAATAAAAATAAAGAGAACCCAACATGGCAGTACACGTACCCTATTCCCAGAACTTAGGAGGCTGAGGCAGGAGGATCAAGAGTTCCAGTCCTGCCTGGGCAACAGACCAACTTTAAGCCTGGATGGACTACAAAGCAAGACCTTGTCTCCAAAAAAGCCAAACCCAAACAAGACAAAAAGCTCAAAACCCAAACAGAAACAATTAGGATCACCCCCCTAGAAGGAAACACTTCTGACTTGGAAATGTGACTTGAGGCCATGCTGATGACAGAACAATAAAGCTTCATCTTACAGATTTCTCCTGCCCCCAGCTGCTCCTAGGTCCGGGTTCTTCAGAGATTTCTCTTTGAACACCAGCCTCACATCCACAGTCAAATCAATTTAGAGAATACTGATTACAGAGTTTCAAAAAAGCATTTTGTGGATCAGAGAATGTTAAAAGGATCTGAAAATTCCTACACCAAAAGAACCTAACTTCATTTAACCAGGTACTAATCAAAGAACACCTATTACAAAAAGACCAAAAATAAATAAATCAATAAATAAAGGGGTGCCGGGCATGGTGGCGCACGCCTCTAATTCCAGCACTTGGGAGGCTGAAGCAGGAGGATCGCTGAGAGTTTGAGGCCAGCCTGGGCTACAAAGTGAACTCAAGGCCAGTCTGAACTGCATAGCAAGACCCTGTCTCAAAAAGACCAAATAAATAAATAAATAAATAACACCTATTAATATTTGTGCCCACTCACAGTGAGAAGTATTATATAGTAATTAGGGAATAGAAGAGACTTGTGTTCATACCAAACCTTTGTCACCTACTAGTTTTGTGACCTTAGATATATGACATTCTCAGGCTAAACCTCAGTTTATCTATAGTAAGCAGAACAGTAGGTTCTTGGGTGTTCATTGTGTTATTATGTTCCATAACTTTATATTCATTTATTCATTTTTATTTTTTTATTTTTTGAGACAGGGTCTTACTACATAGTGCAGGCTGGCCTTGAATGTGCTTATGTTCTGTCCCCGAACTCATTATGATACTTCTGCTTCAGCATCCTAAGTGGTGAGATTACAAGTGTGTGCCACCACGCCTGGCTGTATTCATTTCATTATTACTAAGATTTTAAAATTTTGACAAGGGCCAGGGATATAGCTCATTGGCACAGTGCCTATCTGCTAAGCCCGAGGTTGTGAGTTCAATTTCCAGTACCCCCAAAAAAATAATTAATTAGATTAAATTAAATTAAATTAAATTTAGACAACCTCTCCTCCCTTCCAGACAGAATCACAAATCAGTTTATGACTTACACTGTTAAAACACTCCTGGAAAAGTATAGTGAGAGGCCTACTTGCAGGGCTCTCTTGGACAGTGCAGGGTATGTGGGGCATCACACTGCCACTGTCAAGAACTTAACACAGACAGAGGGTCTTTGACCACCCTTTTCACCAGCCAGACCTTTGGACTCAGCACCTGCCAAGAAAACATGATCTAGAATCTCCTGCAGGGATCTGCTAGTAGCAGAGGTCTCTGGGACCTCATTCCCAGGGCTAAACCCTCCAAGTCTCATTCCACATTCTTATACTCCACATTGCGGACTGAAGGCCTGGGGTTGCAAGATAGTTCCATAAACTGTATACACAGAGGGCTTCCCAAAAAAGCTAAGTCCAAAGGCACATTTCTAAGGCCTGAATCTGCAGTGTTAGCTACAGGCCATGTTTCCTGCTGTTAGCAAGAGTTACCAATCAGTTTTACTTGGCAACAGGCAATACCAAGGGCCATGACTTCTCATTTCCAACAAGGAACCACTTCTCTTAATGCAGTTCTGGAGCAAATCCAGACGTTCATCAAAGCACGACTGCCCCCTATCCCCTAAAGGGCTCTAGAACAAATAATAAGCCATGCCAGGTACCTGCCCTGAGCCCAGGGCTCGCTAGAACTAGTGTGGAGGTAGGGTTGCTCGGACTCAAAGAAATGACCTTGGCACTAACTCTACCTGAAGGGCTCATTATCTTCTAGAACTTCCTAGCAGCTGTCCCAGCCCAATGACCACCTTTTGGGCTCCCCTAGGAGTGAGTACTCAAAATTCTGATCAACAGACACTCTCCTGCCAAACTTTATCAGAAAGTATCCAGCTGAGACCCACAAGATTATTATTTATTGCTAAGGAACTCACCTACCATACTATGAGAAACTGAAAGTCCAAACCCGCCAGCTTATAACTTTATACACTCTGGGTCCAGCCCTACCCCTGGCATGAAGCAAAGTTCCAGCATGTCCTACTCTTTTGTTCTCACAGGGAAATGGGAGGAGGAAATACTCTGTGTGGTCCAGACTGCCTGCTCCCTGCCTGAGCTGTACCTGCAGCAGCAACCATTAGTATTAAGAGTAACTGAGCCTAGTTTTGTCACCCACTAGAGTCCACCTCAGAGTGACCCTTCCAGGAGTTGACCCACCTATCTCCTTTTCTGGGAACCTATCTCAGAGCCCCTCAGACTGGATTTCTCCTACAACATTCAATGATACTCTCCCAGGAAGTCTCTACTATTACATCTGGTCTGTGGAAATTGTGTCTTCCCTATAAGGCAAAGCACTTCAAAGGTCTTAACTCCGCAGTGAACAAAAAATAAAATGTATATTAAAGCTGAACTGTTGTACTTTGCAGTCGCAGATTCTACATCTGCAAAAAGATAACAAACCTTTCCTCAGAGACTCACAGTCTGAAAAACAATGTAGAAGGAACTGTGTAGTTATACATTTGGGGATGGTCTTGGAGACTACACTGTCAAGGGTAATTTCCAAGATGGCCACCATTCCTCATCTACTCTATGCCCTGCTTAATCCAAAACAGAGCACAGATAGAGGGCCTGGCCAAAATCACTACCCAGTAAGAGCCTCCCTCACCCCTGATAAACCTATAGGAATGACAAGCTTAGGCATTTGGGAAGCAGCAGGCAGACCACCTGGACATAAGCGTAGGTCTATGAGCCCAGGCTCTAATTATTTAGCAGGCCCAAGCCTCCAAAAAGACGCAGGACTTAATTTCACAAGAAGTCCTGGGGCTTTTTGATTCCAGGTCAACCTGCTACATCCCTATTCTGCACATACCAAGATACAAACAAGAGCTGAACACAAAAAGCAGCTCACTCCTGAGACATATCTAGCTAAACTTAAAGCATTCAGCAGTGTGACAGAGATTCAATCTTTTGCAATGACTGTGGCATCCCTGACCTCATTTTGCAGAAGAGGAAAACTAAATCCCATAAAGTAACTTACCCAAAGTTAAAGAGCTGAAGTGGTAGTACTGGAACTGCCACCAAATTTGCTATCCAACTCTTAGGTTTGTGGTAGTGACAATGTTATGTGTTGGGCTGGGGTGGAGATGGGATGGGGGCATGAAAGGTCAGGTAATGAAATGAGGAAGGAAAATCCATCTATGTTTCTTGGTAACAAGGTCTCATCTGTCCTGAAGACTTGCTGGCCTCACCAAACAACACACGCATAACCACCAGGCCTACAGAAGAGGTCTAGAGAAACAAGTTTATGCTCTGAGAACATAAACTGCATCTCAGTGATGACTGTACACCAACTGCCCAGCCTAAAATGGCCAGCCAGCCAACCCTGAATGTGTATGGCCTATTTATTCTTTGCTTGCTTACTATTCTTAAGACCATGGCTTTCTCTCCTCTGGTGCCCTCTACCTTCTCATGAGACCTGGCAGCATCAGGGGCAGCCACCCTAATGGCCAAAAGCCCCACCTGCCAGTGCACAGCCCTGACTTCACCCGCGGTTTCTCCTCTTCCCATGGAAACAAAAGATTCTACACAAGAGATGTAGCCCAGGACCTATCTGCCCTACTTTCCCAACTATTTTAAACAAGAAACTAAATTTTGCTTTCCACCAGCTCTTCACGCAAAATTGACATGGTTCCACTCTATCCAACACCAACTGTTCATTGGAAGAGTCAAAGGCTGGGCTGGGGATTTAGCTCAGCGGCACAGCGCCTGCCTGGCAAGCACAAGGTCCTGAGTTCGATTCCCAGTACTGGAGGAAAAAAAAAAAAAAAAGGAAGAGTCAAAGGCTGAGCTCATCAGTATGCACCCCACGGCTGATTCCAACAGTCACTTCCTGATGGATAGCTGAGCCCTAGGTCTCTGGATAGTTGGCTACCACAGACCAAACGGCAGTGATTAAAGAGGTGACAGCAAGTAAACTATTAGTCTTAAAGTAATTATTCTAATTAATCCAACTGAAGGATTTTTTAATTTTGTTTTGTTTTTTGAGACAGGGTAGCCTCAAACCTCATGGTTATCCTCCTGCCTCAGCCTCTTAAATGCTAGGATTATAGACATGTGCTACCACATCCTGCTTGAAATTTGTTTTAATCTGCTCCATTCACCCTACGGGACAGGAGAAGGAATGTAGAATAAACTGATACGAAAAGGAGGTAAAAGATATTTTTTAAGAGAACAGCATAAAAAGGAGGCCCACTCAGATTCAAAAGAAGGTTACAAAAAACTGACAGCTGGGTTTGAAAAGTAGCATAAAACACTTTGAGAAAGGTCTGTGAACATTGCTAAATTGCAAGGTTTAGGCACTGCTGTGTCAATGTTTGCCACACATCAACATACATGCTGACCACTACTAAAACATAAAGTTACATTCTTGCCACACTGCCCTGGACAATTACAGACACTATTACCACTAACAACTGAAGTCTCAGATGACAACTGCTAGAATCCTTCCAGAGCACCACTTTTTTTTTTTCTTTTTGACACAGGGTTTCGCTGTGCAGTTCAGGCCAGCAGTGAGCTCACTCTGTAGCCCAGGCTGGTCTCGAACTCACAACAATCCTCCTGCCTCAGCCTCCCAAGCGCTGGGATTACAGAAGTGCACCACCATGCCCAGCTAAGAGCACCAGCCTTGTATCAGCCCCTCCCTTGTAATCTGCAGTTTTACTACTTACCACCTCTGAGCTGGGAACTCCACCAGAAAATGAGAGAAAGCACAGCTCTTACTGGCTTAACACTCAGCATCTGGGGAGGGGTATTAATAGGCAGGTATTCATCCACCTTCACATCAAGTAAACCGAGCGCGCTAAGTTGGCAGGTGCTAGAATATTTAAATTAGTGGGTGTGCCCAAGACCTTACACCAATGGCTCCCAACTGGGAATGACTCTGCACGTCCAAATCTCATTCCCAGGGTATCTGGCAATGTCTACAGACATTTCTGGTTATCACAAAAAGTGCTACTACAATCCAGCTGACAGAGGCCTGGGATGCTGCAAAATTTTCTACAATGCATAAACAGCTAACACAACAAAGAATCAGGGAGCCCCAATAACAACAACATTGTTGAAAAGTGCTAATCCAGAGCTTCACCAGAGTCTAATAATGAACTCCATCTGGCTTAAAGCAGCACTATCCCCTTCCCCTTCCCTACACCTATCCCTACTCTGCTACTTGCTGCCAAAAATCTCTGTTGCATTCTTCACCCTCCTTTGCTTGGCTAATTCAGAGTCACCCTTCAAACTCCAGCTTACTTCCTTTCCAAAACTTCCGAGTGGATAAGATGTCGCTTCAGAAAGTTCCTGCAGTTACCTTCCTGGGCTGTGACTATCCACTGGGCCTGACTTCTCTACCAGGTTTAAACTACAAACTCATGTTTCAAGATCCACCAAATCTCTAGCTCCTTCACCATTAAGATAGCAGGGATTCATTAAGTGGTTGTGTATGAAGGTAAGCACCCATTTAACTACCTTGTGCCAGACTCTATACTAAGACACCAAATCACTTTAATTCTAATAGGCTTCACAAGGTGGCATCATCACCACTCTACGGATAAGAAAGCCAGCTCTGAGAACGCCCACAAGATCCAAAAGCAAATGAGGAGAGTCTGATTCAAAGCCTGGGGCAGCACTTTTCAAGACATGGCTAGGCCTCCTACACTAACTTTGCTGCCAAGTCTGAGTCTAAGAAGGGTTGGAACGGACTGGGAAAGCTTTAAGACTTTACTATTCTAAGGAAAAGATGAAGAGAATTTTCCTGGTGACGCAATCCTGTTGCTGATCACTAACAGACCTGCACAGAATCTGAAACTTCTGTTCTTCAATCCAGAACTGTGAATGTTGGGGGAGTTTTAAGTCTCAAACTGAACGAATAAACAAACTAAAGTCACAAAATGCCTTCAGATCTCTTCACTAAGCACTGCCAGAGCTCTTGAAAACAAATCTAAGGGTCTATGACTACATAGAAAATTAATATCCCATTAAGAGACCAAAGAGTTCTAGTGTAAGGTCCTTTTAACACTAAAAGCCTTACAACAGAAAATCAGGCTGCCAAGCTGCCTTACATAGCAAGTTCCTTGGGAGGATCTGCCCAGGAAATCCTATATTAAAAGGTTCTGCCAAACATCCATCTAAAACACCATGCAGATCTGAGACACTGAGGGGTGCAAATGACAAACAGGCATCTGACAGGTAGTCCTTGAGGAGCCCAAGTACTGCTTCGACTAGTGACTTCCCCATCATAAGGCCCTGGACATCTCAAAGCTCTGGTGCCATCCCTAACATGAAAGCAGCCACAGCTGTTCAACTTAAATGAGACAGAGAACAGTGCTATCAAGAGGGCTCCCAGAACCTTGCTTCTCCCAACTGTGGCATGTGGCAACAAACGCACTTCAGAGGTTAAGCTGCTCACAACAAAATCCTAGAGTGCCCAGATCCTGTACTTCGTGTTGGTTAACCATACTGCTCTAAACAACTGTAGTCTAGACTCCTATGAGGTTTTGAGGATTACTGAAGCATATTACTAGGTTTATCTGTTGCAGGGCTGGAAAGAGGTAGCTTCCAAACATAAATTTTCACTTCATATGAACAATAATGTTCCTGAAGATAATCTTCCCTAGGGGCCAAGGCATTGAGCTAATTCTCATTGGGATCTGAGGCCCCAAATACACAACAGCCTAAGATCTGCTGCTCAAAGAATTACAAGGCCAAGGTCAAGAAGCCAGTTGCAGCATTTTGTTTCACTCCAGCACAGTAAGAAGTAACATGCTCTTGCAAAGGACAGGTGGGCTTGTCTGCAGCTAAGAGGAAAATTTTAAGAGTGTGCTGCACTTTCTTCCTGGCCCATTAAATTGCCTGGAAATCACTTCCCCTCCTAGGAGTTGAGAACCTGTATCAATTAAACTATTCTCAAGGGCCTCTGCCTATATTTCTCTGCTAAAGAATCCGCAAATATTTTGTTAAGAATGTTAAGAATAGGGGCTGGGGATTTAGCTCAGCGGCAAAGCGCCTGCCTGGCAAGCGCAAGGTCGTGAGTTCGGTTCCCGGTACCGGAGAAAAACCAAAAAAAAAAAAAAAAAAAAAAAAGAATGTCAAGAATAGTAAAGCAGGAAACTTTTAGAAAGCTCAATTTTTTTCTTAAAGTGTAGATTTTGAAATGGAGGTCCAAAAACACCAAGTAATTTACTTAAAAATCACAAAGGAAAAGGCTTGCAACATAGCCTTCTGGAAAGAGCCTTGTGGATTAATTTTCAAGTTAAGCCCGCGGTAATATCAAACCTGCCTTCAGGTACAGAATTCCCTGTGGGTTCTCTGACTCGTTTTCTTGCTCCCTACCACCTACCCTTCCTATACAGAACTCCACGTCTTTTCCCCGACTCGTTTTGTGGAGATATACACATATACACCTTTTTTTTTTTTTTTTTTCCCTTGGTCTTTTTGAGACAGGGTCTCACACTGCAGTTCAGGCTGGCTTCGAACTGGAAGCAATCCTCCTGCCTCAGCCTCTCAAATGCTGGAATTATAGGCATGCGCCACGATGCCCCGGCCACTATATATATACATATATATGTATTTTTTTTAGAAAAGGGCATCTTTCCCTTCCCCCTACAATCAAGAAACAGAAGGATGGGTCAGAACCCCAAAAGCACGGACTCCTATTGGCTGCTGCCTCCCGGACCCGCGTGCACAGTGAAAGCAGCAGGGCGCAGGGCCGCCCCCTCCTCCCAGGTGGGTTACCTGAGCACAGTCACGCTCCCTCTGCGCACCGGCAGGGAAAGCACAGGTTCTGACACCCGGATAGGCTTGAACTGGAATTTGCAGCCGAAGCACAGCGCAGAATCGCTAAAGAAAGACACAGACACGATGGGGCGCTCAAATATGTGGATGGGGTCCACGTGAGACACGATGCAGCCTCCCGGCTGGTAGTCGTTGATGACGGCGCTGTTGACGAAGCCCTCGGGAATGACGCGGTGCTCCACCAGCTTCTGGATCACCAACTGGTGCACCCACTCGGGGATCTCGTCCACGTCCCCCGGGGGGTACAGGCGCTCCTGGCCCGGCCCGCGCTTCTGCAGCTGCGCGCCGTACGTGTAGCCCTCCCCGAAGAAGTACTTGTTGCGCAGCGGGGCCCGGTCCACCGTGTGCTCGTTGTACAGCCCCTTCTCGGCGCGGGACACCACCTCGTCGATGCGGGCCTCTATCTTGGCGCACTCGTCCTGGCTGAAGAGGCGGATCTGGCGGATGCCGCTCTTCACCTTGCGCGCCTCCTCCTCCTTCTGCAGCTGCTGCTCCTCGTAGTCGCTGCGCTCCGGGTCCGAGTCCTCCTGATACTTGCGCTTGGTCCCGGACGCCGGGTAAGGTTCGGCGGCGGCGGCGGCGGCG